TGTAGCCCAGGCTGGTTTTGAACTTGCAAGGATCCTCCTGCCTCAGCCTCCCGAGTGCTGGGATTACAGGCGTGCACCACCATGCCTGGCTCTTTTTACATTTTATTTTCAGCCAGGCATAGTGGCACATGCCTGTAATCCCAGCACTCGGGAGGCTGAGGCAGGAGGACCGCTGTGAGTTTGAGGCCAGCCTAGGCTACAAAGTGAGCTCAAGGCCAGCCTGAACTGAGACCCTGTCTCTAAAAGACAAAAAAAAGAAAATTATTTTCAGATAAGGTCTTGCTAACTTGTCCAGGCTGGCTTCAAACTTGCCATCCTCTTGCCTCAGCCTCCGAGAGTACTTGCAATGACAGGCATGTGTCACCATGCCCCGCACTAATTTGTTCTGTTCTTCCAGAACTAAAGCAGTGCTTGGGACATAGTTGGTGCTCAATAAACTGGTGAATGACTGAATTTAGATTCTTTCTGGTTTGAGACCAATTGGAAGGGGCAGGACAGACAGAAAAATGTGGGCATTTCCTCTTCACCTTCTCTCTCCATTTTGCTTTAAGGGTGGCAGGTTTAAGGAAAGATTGGGGAGGGAAGTGCAGCGGGGAGAAAAGAATGAATGTGCCCACAGGATCCTGCAGTCCCAGCACTCAGGAGGCTGAGGCAGGAGGGTTGTCAAGGTGAATTCAAGGCCAGCCTGCATTGCACAGCGAGACCCTGTCTGACAAAAAAAGGTAAAAAATAAAAAAAATCTAGGATGCCGGAGACTGGGTAACTTATAAGGAACAGATTTCTTTTGACTGTGAGATGCTTTTATCAGCAGGGAAGCGGAACGTTGTAATGTTAAGGTAGCCCGCGGCAAGTGTTTACACACGCATGACACATTTTCATCACCTCCCCAGTTGCCACGGCCCCCCCCCCCAGCAATGTCACATATTTGGGGAGGGTTCTAATGCATCTGGGTCACATTCATCCCCCACTGTCCACGCGCACACCGCTCCCCCTTGTTCCCTTCTTCCTGTCCAATAATGAGATTTATTTCTTCCAGGAAGCGGTGAGCCCCTGGCGAACAGGAAGGACAGAGCGGGCGTCCTCCTCGGCCCCTCCTCCCCAGCTGCCCCTGTGGGGATTAAGTTCCCTTTCCCTGAGCTTTGGGCACACATCTGAGGTGAAGGTGGTGCAGCCGGGGCGTGAGGACAGACGGCCGCAGTGGCCAGGCCGGTCGGCGTCCTGGGGGTGGAGAGACGAGTGGGCCCCGAGGCGCTCGCTCTGTTCCCCGTACCCGGCTGCGTTTGGCTCCGGGTCTAGAAACCCTGCCGGTTTAGTATCTTACTGAATTCCCACGCCGATCCTATGGGCTCCCCACCCCGCCCCATCTTCAGCAGATTCCAGCTCCAGGCTTCACAATAAACCGAGATTCAGGGGCCGGGACGTAGCTCAGCGGCATAAGGGCCTGCTGGCAAGTGCAAGGTCTTGAGTTCGATTCCTGGCACCAAAACAAACAAACAAACAAACAAACACCCCAGAGATTCACCCTCAAATCGGGGTCCCGCGGGTCCGCCCAGCTGCCGGGCTGGCCCCAAGCTCCGGGGCCACCTGTGGCTCTGTCCCCGCGTGGAGCGGCCCCCTGTGGGGCCCTGGGCGTCCAGGCGCCTCGGAGGAAGGCTCCTCTGCGGAAGATCCGCCCAGCGATGCCCACAACAAGCGCAGATTCCTCGGACCGCGCAGCGGGGTTCACGTCCCCCGCAGCCACCTGCGTCGCTCTGCTTCCTCGCTCGGCCCGGGCAGCCAGAGCCGGGCCCTGCGGGGAACTGGGGAGGGGTCGGCCCAGCTACCCCTTCGCGTCGCGGGCATCCTCCTCCCCAGCACGCGAGAGGACCAGGAGGACGAAGGGCAGCGCGCTGCGCACGCCGGGTCCAGCGGCCAGCTGTGTGCACGCATGCGCATGCGCAGTGACAGACCCGAAAGGCCCCTTCCTTGCTGAACCTCGCTGGGAGTCTCCATGTTACCCACAGTCTCGTGTTTCTCTTGACCTTTAAACTGAGCTTTAAGACGGGCGTGGAGGTGCATGCCCACGGTCCCAGCGTCTGGTGGGGGCTGGGGCAGGACTGCCAGTTTGAGCCCAGTCTAGGCAACTTACAGACTTCCCAAAGCCCCATCTCAAAAACATTAAAAAGGGGTGAGGATGTAACGCAGGGTGAAGGCCTTGGGTTTATTCCCAGTACAAATTTTTGATCACCCAGTGTGATAACAAATACAGCAACGGTGTGGCGTGAGCCATCCAGCAGAGAAGCAGGCTTGCCAAAACATACAGTGTGTCCTCAGCACCACCCCGGCACTCAGACTTGCAACTCCTCCCCAAGGTCAAATTGCCCACGAAAGGGAAGTGTTCTGAATCGATTCAGGAAGTCCAGGCAGCCAGCAGCGCAACTAAAGACCCTCAGGAAGGAGGACGCCAGAGCTGCTGCAGGAAGTGCCGGGAATGATGGGATGAGTGTGTTTGAAGCCTAGGGGGAATATTGTGAGGGGATTCATGGGAATGTGTCCTTTACTGTAATCATTTTTTTTTTTTTTTTTTTTGAGACAGGATCTCACTCTATAGTTCAAGCTGGCCTTGAATTCCAGGTGATCCTCCTGCCTCAGCCTCCTGAGTGCTGGGATTACAGGCCTGTGCCACCACGCCTGGCTGTAATTTTTTAAAATTGACGCATTCATCGTATTTCTGGTCACACCAGCTACTAGCACGATCAGCTGGTGGGGCACACAAGAAGGCTCTGGTAAAGCAGCTGTGACAGCCCAGGCCAGGCTTGGAGAATAGTGGGACTGCCATGGTCATCTCTTTAGTCAGAGAAGGACGGCTGACATTATTGATGCCACCCTGACCGGTTTAAAGATTTATTGCACAAGCGCTGGATGGGCTCTGGACCAAGGGCAGTACAATGCCCAGCTCTTCCTCCTGCTAGGGACATCTCTGTACATCCTCAAGGATGCCTGCCTGGGTGGAGAGACCCACCGCTCTAAACCAATCAGGATGATCCTTTGTATCCTGGGCCAGTAATTGACCCAGAGGTGGGCATGTGATTAGGTACTGACCAGTGAGACCCCAGCAAACCCTCTGGGCCACATCTGGGCGCGTGGCTGTGTGAGCAGTGATGGTCATCGGGCCTTAAGCCAGTGGAAGTGGAGCGGCAGAACTTGCTGGCAAAGTCTTCTACCTGCAGCGGTCACCTGACGCGATTCTACTTGCCCCGGGGCCTTGTGCCTACGCAAGGACATAGCCAGCCACGTGTCATGGCCCAGGCCCCTGGTCTGAAGACATGAAGCCACCAGTAGGAACTAGGGACAGCCAGATCCCCATGCAGGACCCCGTCCCGGCTCCTGTGCCCCGCTCCACAGCCCCGAGGGCAGAGGGGAAGCTGCCTGAGCCCTGGCCTGGGGCTGGGCGGCAGTGCCAATCTTTTTTTTTTGAGACAGGTCTTGCTGTGTAGTTGAGGCTGGCCTTGAGCTCACTTTGTAGCCCAGGCTGGCCTCGAACTCACAGCAATCCTCTTGCCTCAGCCTCCCGAGTGCTGGGATTACAGGCGTGTGCCACCATGCTTGGCTACAGCGCCAATTTTAAAGCCAAAGGGCTTCCCTCAGCGTCAGGTGGCTGCTGCCCGAGAGTGCCGTTTGGCTGGCACTGTTTAGATTGTTAATGTTTGCTCGATGGAAGTGGTTCAAAATTACATTTCACAGTAGGAGCTGGATCTGGGGTTTTGCATGGAAGCTCGGAAGCAGCAGCAACCTCAGGCTGACATGGTCTTACTAAGTAACTCAGGCTGGTCTTGAGATCAGTATGTAGCCCAGGCTGGCCTCCAACGCACAGTGATCCTCCTGCCTCAGCCTCCCGAATGCTGGGATTACAGGCGTGCGCCAACACGCCTGGCTCTCTCTTTTTTTAATTAGTCCACATTTGCAGTACACAAGGTGACATTCATCACGGGGAGCTGACAGGGGAGCTGACATACGCGCACAATGCATCGTGGTCCTTTTTTTTTTTTTTTTTTTAAAGGCGTGTACCACTACACCCGGCATCCAGACTTTTTTTTTTTTTTTTTTTAAAGGCGTGTACCACTACACCCGGCATCCAGACTTTAATTTTTTGATTTTGACACAGGACGACAGGGTCTGAGCCCTAAGTGGCTGGGGACCTTGCCAGTCTCCTGCCCCAAGCTCGTGCACTGGCACGCCCGGCAGAATGGTTTTCCAGGAGACACCGAGATACACTAAATTCTGGGCTGGGAATGAGATCCGGGCCTCAGGGGCCCGGCAAGTAGAGTAAGCGTGCACACCCAGCGGCAGGCGGGTTTTCTCTCTACAGCACGCAGCCCTTCCTTTAAAACTCTCGGCCAGGCGTGGTGGCGCACGCCTCTAATCCCAGCACTCCGGAGGCTGAGGCAGGAGGATCGTTGCGTGTTCGAGACCAGCCTGGGCTACAAAGTGAGCTCAAGGCCAGCCTGAACTGCACAGAGAGACCTGTCTCAAAAAAAAAAAAAAAGTCTACACTCTCCCCCCGCCACCCCCCCGTGTGTCCTCACTCCGCGTCACTGCTGAATGAACGCACGCACGATGTGCGCCCCTCCTGGCCACACGTGACTCGCTCACAGGGTAGGCGCCTCTGCGCCACTGCGGGTAGTGGGAATGCAGGCTAAAGCACGCGCACGCGCGGGAGCCAGCGGCGCTGCACCCCAGTGCGCAGGCGCGGGCGGAGGGCACTCCTTTCTCGGGCGCGCCGGCGGAGGGTTACAGCAGGGGCGTGGCTGTTGGGGGTGTGGCCGAGGGCGTGGCCCGCGAGGGCGTGGCCAGCGGGGCGTCCGGCCGCTCAGTCTCGCGCTTCCCCTCCGTGCGCGCCGCGTCCCGTCCGCCCGCCCGTCGTCCGGGACCCCCGTCCCTGTCCTCCGCCGGCCTGACCTCGGTCCCCGGCCCTCGCCACGGCCATGTCGGAGCGGGCGCCGCCCGGGCGCGAGGAGATCCTGGAGTGCCAGGTGATGTGGGAGCCGGGCAGCAAGCGCGACACGCAGATGGACCGCTTCCGCGCGGCCGTGGGCGCCGCCTGCGGCCTGGCGCTGGGTGAGTGCGGCGGGCTGGTCGTGCGTGCGGGCTCCGGGTACCCGGGCGGGTGGGC